TTTTACTTCTAAAGACTTGTATTATTAAAGCCTTGAAACGAATTTTTTATTACTTTTATTGTTTTCCTAAAAAAAATTCCCAAAGTTACCTATAATTTTTAAGCGGTCAAAGTGGTGTAACCCCTTAAATTACCTTAAATATCCATCTGCACAAGCTGCAAAGATTAGCACACACTCGCGATTAAAGAATTGCTGCAGTCCCTTGAAACAGTAAAAGGCATAAATATCCATGTAACGTGTTTCCGGTTCTGCGATAGTGGATTGTTTAGCTTCCTGCCATGGTTTTTTACAATACCGATTTTGCCCATAGAGCATATGAGAATTCATATCGGAACACGATACATTTAGTTTGGTTTTTGGAAAATAATTACTCCGATCCACAATTCTTTTAACGTTCAACTGCCAAACCTTCAACTGTGCTCTTCCTCCACCAGAAAAGATCAGATGCTTAGATTCGTCCAATTCAACGACACTTATGCATTTTATGCCCGAAAGGTGACCATGGAAAATTCCTAGATTTTTAAAAAAAATTCGTTCGTTTGGTAGACAAATACGGCTGATACGAAGAGCGCAATCTTCACCACCGGATACGAAAATAGTCCAAGGAGCACGAATATCACCCCACTTCTCCGTACGAAAAATTGTAATTCGTCGCAAGCAACATGTCTCCTTTGTGTGAAAACCATTCTAGATACGAGAAACAACAAGTGTAGGAAAAGGCTTGCAAAATTTTCTTTTCAACAGACTAATGTTACATACCTGTAAAATAGGATATGAAAAAAAGAGAGAAGGAGACATGTCACATACGTGAACCTGTTTATTTTTTATGTAGGCAAAACTTGTTGACGTGTGCGATATTATGCAGTCCCACGCTCTGTGACCGCCACCGCAAGGAATTCTGACGACTATGCTTTCATTCAACAAGTCATATATTATAAAATCTATCTGAAAATATTAGAAATGTATTGTTACATGCACATACATACATACATATGAATAAATTAAATGATTATATATATATATATATATATATATAGGTATATATATATATACATACAGGGTCATCGAAAAGTATCGGACCCCCCTAATATTTTCAGTTAGAATGCAATTTGGAGAAAATGTCCAATAGCAAAGTTGTATAGTTTCAAGCGAGGAGTAAGATGATGACCTTGACTTTGATCTTGACCATGTCCTTTAAGGTCATTTCAAGGTCAACCTTATTTTTTAAATGGAACCCC